ATATAATTTTTGTTTTTAAAAAAAAGACATTCAGTATCACGTCAGCGGATTCTGATCAACTTCCCATCCGTCTTCTGCGATAACCGCTGCTCGTTAAGGCAAAACGTCAGGTTGGCACCATTACAACAGCTGAATCGAACTGGCCGAAGGCAAAGCAGCACGGGCGGCACGCCGGCATCAGCGAGGCTGCTTCTCCCGCACGCTGACCGAGCCATCCTCCATGCCGAAGTACACCACCTCTGCCATGTTGATGAAGAGCCCCGTCTCCACCACACCTGCCGAGCAAGAGATCCCATGCCGGTTAACGCCAGAGCCACCTCATCTCTCTGCTCTGACCACGGTTTTGGTGATTAAAAGGCTCTAACGCCCCCACCAGAGGTTTGGGGAGAGGCGGCCAAGCTGGGCAACGTTGCATCAGCCACACAGGGAGGCCCCCTGGGAAGTCTTCTCCATGTGGCCAGCCCCCAGAGGAAACTGTCTCCAGAAAGCGAGAAACAGCTCCCAAAGCTCCCCCCGACGTTCACACTGCCCCAGCCACCACCGTTACACTAACACGATCACGAGCATGGGATTTTCAGCCATCTGAAGACCCTCGGAAGCAAAAGGAAGCTACACACAGCCACAGGCTACTTATTTTGCCTTTGAACACATCTAAAAAATGATTCTGTTGGAGAACACCCGGGTAACACTCGTTCAAGGGTTAAGACTCAGCAGGTCTGACGCTACCTCTACAATTTGTAGCCTGTTACCAAATGTACTTTTAGTTGTATTTAATTATGGGGTGCTCCTAGCTTCACAGTGATTACTGTGAACATAGCCAGAGGCCGGAAAGGTAGAAAGAAATGGAGAACAAGTGCTACCACAAGCACAAGGTGGCCAGACCCCTGCCATCACGTCTGTATTTGGGCTTTCACAGTCCTGCTCACCCACTTCTGGGTACAGAAGATGCTCTTCTCCCCTTAGCAGGTCCACTTCTGAGCAGCAAATGGTGCCGAGACCATCTCCACACCAACACGATGGAACAGGTCCCATCATTTGCTGTTCATCTCTCAACCCAAAGAGATGCAAGGAAGAAGTCCTTGCAGAGAGGCTGTTTTGTCTGCAAGCAGCATAACTAGCCACTGTTTCGCTCTTGCTCAGAAACGGCTCTAATGATGCAGGCATTCGTACAGCCACGGGCAGCAGCCACATTAGGATACAGAGCGATGCACGGTGGACAGCCCAGACCAGCAGTGGTCACTGTTTCATTTAGCTCTGCTCCTGCCAAAGACCCGAACCTGCCATCTACTGCTAGCTGTCTGCAAGTGCCAGGAAATCGTTCAGATCCCAAAGTCACGGGGACAAGCCACCAGTGTTTCTGTTAAAAGCCCCGCCACAGGGGCATAAGGAGGGTAAGGAAGAGCACAGGACTGTTGAGCTTAATGGAAAACAGTGTCCGAAGTCACCCAGCACGGCCCCAGGTTTTCACCACCATGTGGGAATGACACTTGTGTAGAGTCAGCTGATAGATCTCTCAAGTAGATATAAATACATGGACCCACAAGAGGGCAGTAAACACACACATTCCCTCCTATCCAGGGGAGAGCTCCCACGGTCAGGGTTACCTAGGACAGACCAAGCCTTAGCCAGTTTTTGCTTTTTTTTTAAAAAAAATGACAGACATTACCTGGTATCATTTTTATAGCAGTGTTCACTTCACTCCATTCATGAACCCTGTCAAACTTCCAGTCCAGGATGAAGTTCCCGTTGTCCGTCACCACGGGGCCCTAGGACGCAAAACCCATTTGTCAGCACTGCGAGCTCCTTGTCTCCCGAGCACAGCCAGGGACTCTCACAGCCTCTCACCAGGACCAGCCCTCTCCGCTGCAACGGTTCAGAGAGAGTCACCATTCAAGTAAACCAGGGCAGTCCATAATATGCCTGTAAGTAAAACCATCGCCCAAGGCAACTGCTCGTTCCTCATGCTCCTGCGTACTGATAATCAGGCAGAACCTGGAAACAATGCAATTTCATCACTGCAACAGGGGATCCTTTTCACAAGAACAAAATTACATGAATGTCCTAAAAAGGCTATTACATTGAAGCCAAAATATGATCCCAGCCCCTCAGTGATAAGAGCATGCTGCCAGCTACCATGGGGAGGTTTTGGAGCTGAAGAATTGCTGGCCTTCAGTGTCCCAGATGTGCCCAGCACCCTCTCAAGACCAACAGAAGGAGCAATTGGGTCCTTTCAACAGAGCAGAGACAGCTGGGTTTGAGGATGAGCAGTTTCAGCAGCGCTGAGCAGGGCGCGCAACCACACGTGCCAGGAGGGGCCAGCATCCTCTGAGGACACGGCTGGTGCTGGAGCAGCACCGATGTGCATTCCCCGGCTGAGGCTGATCTCAACTGCATGGAAAATGACTGGTTTGCTCTTCTCAGTACCGCAAATGCAGTCTCTATCGCCTCTCAAGACTAGACACATTAAAAACAAGTATTCAGCCTTCCGGTGTGAACTCCAGCCACGACTGCAGACAACCCTCCTTCTCCCTTGCCAGGTGACGTGGCTGGCGAAGTCCTGCCACCCAAAGTCAGGACAGGACAGTGGCAGTGGCAACAAAGCATCTTCAGTCCTAATTCAGTATGGCTCTGACTCCGTGTGGTACAGAGGATCCTGGGATGGAGCATGAGCGGCCCACCCAACTTGAGACCCTCTTTGGCAGCAGACTGCCCTCCAGCCCCCCAGAGCAGCAGATCAGATCTGGTCTGGCATGCCTCCTCTCCCTGCTCAGGGATGCTTGCTTTAGGAGACATAACCCAGAAAGGCTTTCCACAAGCAGCACTGACACCCGGTTTATTAACCAAAGTATAATTAGGGAGAATTACACAAGAGGCCACTTGCAGGAGTGAAAGCCCAGATTTAGTGAGATAAAAGGCCAGACCTCTGGTCTCCCATTTGCCCGCGTTCAGGTGGCTTCTCTGGGGAAGCGGGGCTGATCAGGGACACATACCGCTTTGCTAACAGCCATTCGCAGCTCCGCGACACCTCCGAAGTTTTTGGTCAGGGCTCTGGTGACAGGGACATAAGCCATGGGGATGACCTCGATAGGAATTCCCTTCTTCCACTGCTCCCCCAGGCTCCTTGATTTTTTCCTGAGGATGCAAGAGGTGGGATTAGCATCAAACGTTACATTGCCAACACCATTAACATTATCGCATTACCTCCTGCAAACCCCTCAGGCATAAGGCCTTGGAGGGAACAGCAATCACTTCACACATGTACATGTGTAGGAAGAAGCAGTTTAACACACGATGCTCTATTCACTCATAAGCCCTGTTCTGACATGTTTTGGACAAGCAGGACACGAGTTGTTTTTTTCCATAGCCCTGCGGCTGTACGTACAGACAGGGAAACGTATTCCGTGCTGACAGTCGCTGAGCTCAAAGAGCAGAGCAGCCGTTTCCCCACAGGCTCTGCTGACTCCTAAGCAGGCCTATGGAGTTGAAAATTAAGAAAAAAAAGCTAAATTGAACTGCTGAAGCACTAGGAGTCAGGCCCATTTCCACCTATGACCCACTGGAAGGACAAAAATGGCCTAACACAGGACCATCCAAATGCTCCTACAGGACAGAGAGGTGTAATGAACAGCAATATTTTTACCTGTAATCGGCAATAACGATGAAGCATTTTGCATATCCTGCGACTATCTTCTCCTGCGTTAAGCAACCACTGCGATGGGTAAAAAATAAAAACCAGAAAACATCAGACTGCTCCTCCATGTGCCTGTTGGTCTCCAAGCCCAGCCCCCTCCATCATGTTCCTGCTGGTTTTGGGGCTGCCACTGCGCCACGCCAGCGCTCTTTCCCCTGCCTCATCACTTCATTCTCCCTCTCCCTTGCAGACGCTCTCGCCCAGGAGCTATCTCCCGCTGCAGGCGCACCCGCGGCCCTGCACAGGATCCCATCAGCCTCTCCAACCCGCCCCCAGAGACATCTGCAGCCACAAAAGGATGCTCAGAGGCCCCCGCCACAAGCGCCGCACACAGACAGATGGACAGCACAGCTCACCCGCCACCTTTGATAAGGTTGAGGTCACAGTCCACTTCATCTGCTCCATCGATGGCGACATCGAGCTGTAGGAAGAGGAAAAACTTGGTGTGGAAACTTCTGCCAGGCAGCACCCAGGCGCTGCTCTTGATGCAGCTTTGGAGGGTGTCAGGTCCCAGGCAGTGGCCAGAAATGTTATTAGAGCTGGGACCACCCTGATGCCGGCCTGACCAGGGACAAGCATCTAATCCGCCACCCCAGGATACCAGCCCCAGCTAAACTACAGGCACGTAAGGAAAACAACAATCAACTGCTTGCCTCCAAGGCAGAATGTTTCAGCCCCTAGTGTTGTCACCTAAGAGACAAGGGGCTCCCGGGGAAAAGCTGGGTCATAGCACTTCAACACCACCGTATCCCCACCTCAGGCCAGCAAACCTCAGCCTGGAAGAGGTGCCCAATACCTGGGGGAAACACAACTCAGCAGCCTACTTGTCATCTTGTGCTGGTTGTGGCACGTGTCTGAAGGGACAAGCACTAAGACAAGACAAAGGCTTGGGGAAAACAAAATAAACTAACCTAGTTCTCCCTCATGTTCAGCAGTGTGGCTGCCTAAACTCTCGTCCTCAGAGGAGGACAAAGGGGACCGATACTTTATGAAGGACCAGGTTAGAGGAAGGTCAGGTGAGGTCTCACCTCTGCAGTCCCACTTACCTCTGGATGTCGGTCCAAGTCACTTAACGTTAAGCCATTTTGCAGGATCAGCTGACGGGCCTGTGCAGCAAGAAGACAGCACACACCGTTTACCGGGGGCAGGAAAGGAACACACTCGTGGTGTCAGTCCCCCGGCTGCGGGAAGGATGGAGTCTCCCAGGGAGACCTCCACCCTGAGCAGAGAGGCTGCAGCCAGAAGCATGGCAATAACAAAATGATGCTTCCAGACCAGATTATTTTAAACAAAAGAAAACTCTGCTGCCTATTTGAACTAAAATGCTCAGATAGTGCAACAGGACTCCTGGGTTCAGGTATCCCTCTATTAAAAAGCGGGATGTCCCATCAGCTGGGTGGGAATCGCTTGTTTCTAAGCATCAGAGCAGTTATGGCACTTCTGAGACCTGTGTTGTTTCAGTTTGGACATCATTCTCTTTTGCTCCTATCCAGCCCCTCTGATTCCCTTTGGCTAAAAATTGGAGCAAGAAAATGAAATATTTACACCACAGCAATACAGGACTAACAATGACAGTATTTTTCATATTCGAAGGAAATAAAATAAAAGCAGGAGACATGCACAACTCATGGAAAATGTGTGGGAAGCCTCCTGAAACAGTGGCTCTGATCTACTTCTACTGATCTAGCTGTGTATTTCCCTCTAGTGGCAAGACAACACAGAGCACCCCGGAGTTACCCTACACTTGGTGGGTCAGTTTAAACCAAGTTCAAGCTTAGACAACCTTGGATGAATTTTCTGTGTTACAAATCATCACCTGAGAGTCCCCTTGCAAAGATTCTGCTCAAGTCTGAACTTCCTGCTATGCCGTAGCTAGTCCAGGAAACCCCTGTGCGATAGCCTGGATCAAGTTATTCCCCTGAATTCTACTCACTAACACTGCGTCAGTTGCATGTATTGGCATCCTAGAAACATAAGAACTAGCAGGTGGCACTCCTGGCAGTGAGATATGATTTGAATCACGTATCGTGGCATCTCATAGCATGCAGTTTTAACAATGATGGGCTGTGGGCTCTTGATGTGTGCACTAGGATCACCCTAAAACCTCAGAAAATTAAAAGATTAAAAATCAGTGGGTTTACGTTCATTACATGGTGTCCATGTCAAGAGGTATCAGGGATCTGGGAATTGAAAGCATTGAAAAACACTGTGCTGCACATGCAGGCCAGATCCTGAACAGGCTTAGAGTCAGCAGCGTGGAAACGAGGTGGCTCTCTTCAAGCTCTCTGCTTGCAAGGCAATGGGAGCAGACCTGCAGGAATCCAAAGCAGAGCTCCACACCGGAGGAAAAGCGTTGGTAACTGCACAGCACTTGCCAAGAACGGTCTCGCCCTGTGCTCCCGGCCCACATCCGGGTGAAAAGAAGAAACAGTGCAAAAGCCAAGGGAAAGATACTTACCCCGGCTCTAGCTTTACTGATGGTGATGGAATAACCCAACCTGACAACAGGGAAGGGAGGAGAATCAAAGCCCACTGAAACCAATTCTTCCTTGCCAGTGCCCTCAGGCAGCCATTTACACCTGTGCGTAGTGAAAATAAGATGCTGTTTTGCTGACCTGGGGATGCCTCACTCAAAACTGGGTGAGGTCTAAGAGACCCGTATCAAAAGATTCGAGGCAGCCCCTTGTCTGGGGGATTTCGGCTCCTGCAGGTGACGATCTCTCTATTCCCCTTAACAGCAACATTTGGTTTACTGGTATGAAACTGTAGAGTTACACAAACTATCCAAACATTTCGAGGCAGGGCAGGCTCCAGTCCACATTCACCAGGAGAGCTTTATCACTATTTTCTGTAAGACCAAATGACTGAACTCAGAGTCTTCCTAGGTTCAGATGGCACATGGTACCTGGATGGAGATCTTTTTAGACAGATCAAAGACAGACTCACTACAGTGTATATATGCAACAGAAGTACCAATACAGGTTAAAGGGGGGGGGGGGGGGGGGGGATTTTTACTTTCTGCTGTTTGCAGCAGTTTGTGTTATATCCCAGTTGGCCACTGGTTGTTTGCAACAGCTGGGAAAAGAGAAAGTCCCATCACCCCACACTCACACTTAAAGAACATCTGTAGGGTCAGAGGATGTTAAGTTTTCACAAGATTCTCCTCAGGGAATAGAGGCAGAGAGACCAAAGCCAGTTGCCTGAAGGTATGGAAGCAGGTCAGAAGCTTCCCCAGCAGCTCTGAGTTTCACTCTCAAGCCATGTTCTTCCTCTCCCTGCAAACCTCTCAACACCTAGCTTGGCATGAACCAGTCCCTGCTAAAGCTGCGCAGCAAAGGAAGGATTAAGCTGATGTGTCTTCTGCAATTTTTTATACAAGACAGATGATGCATTTCAAGTTCCTCCTGAAAAACACATGAGCTTGCTATTATTATTATTATTGCAGCATGATTTTTACAGCTTTCTGATATGGAATCAAAGGAGACTAAGTGTCTCCAATGAGTTTTGCATTATGAGTCTGGGTTCACCACTGCCAACAGCATTTTCCTGTAAAAGGGATTCAGAGCAAGCCACACACCAACACTGACACAGCCAGCGTTACCACACGGGTTCACGGCACGCCTCCCAGCACTACAGCATCCCAGCAGCTCAGGGCAGGGTAACACAGCACCGTCAGCTTCATGAGGTCCATTGGCAGGCTGCATCATGACTACTGTCACCAGTGCTTTTAGTTAACTCACGCCGCAGCGAGCCAGTCTGGAGAGCAGCACGGTTGCCTCCCACAGCCAAAGGGAAGATGCCCCACGTGAGTGTTTGGACTAGCAGAAAGCAGAAGAGGAAAGCACTTACCTGAAAAGACGTAGGGATGCAGACAATTGTCAGGTTCTCCTGTTGAACCCGCTCGGCTGGAGGGAAAAAAGCAGAAGCCTCGGTTTGTCCATTGCAGAAGGAAAAACACTCCAACTTTCACTTTAAGAAATTTCTGTTCAGAGCAGCCCCTTTGAATCACTGCAATTACTTGCTTGGCTTGCAAATAACCCAGTCATGCTCAAAGCACAAACAGGTGCCACCCTGCCCAGGCTAAGTCTCAGTTTCCACTGTCACCCTGGCTCAGCCCAAGACACCACGAGCCATTAACCTTTGTGTGCCCAGCAGCAGAGGACCCTCATCAGCAAATCATCACCGGGGAAATTAGCCCCTCTCTCACTCCATTAGACCGGTTTTTGCTGCACTCCTTGTAAACAGAGAGCTCCAGCAGCTGTCTGAAAGGTTTTCTGGCTTGTTGCCTTGGGGACATCACATTCATTTATTATAGAACATTTAAATATATGGCAGGGAAAGGACTAATAAAATACAGTATTCCATTAAACGCAAGGAAATATTTCCTCCCTCAGGTTAACCTCAAATGACTAAAATCTATTACTAAGACATCATTATGGACAGAAAGTTATTCTAGTAATTTCAATACTTAGGCATGAGCCAACAGCCCGAGAGTCAGCAACAGCCCTCGCACCGGAGCGAGCACGCAGGCTACATGTTTCAGGTAATGCTGCTGCTGGAAGGACTGAAACTGCAATACGTGAGGCTGTGTATTGTTACAACCCACATCCCACCGCTAATGCACTCAGCAGACATGAAAAGTGAGAATTTGCTCCACTTTAAATACTGTACCCATTTATTTAGAGACTGATTCTGTGGCTGCAATACTGAGCCAAACCCAGGAAGTTGAACCACAGCTCCCAGACAATGGAGTGTGCCACACACGCAGCGTGGGGCGAGGTGGGTGCCAAGGGGCAGGCACAGCACGATCTCTGCCGTTTCCCTGTACAGCGGAGCACTGTGCTCACACTTAGCCCCGCTTGCCCATGGTAGGCTGGGGACGGCTTAGCCCAAGGGAGCTGAGAGTCATATGGGAAATTCCCAGCCACACAGAGCCACCCAGGTGGGACACATTGAACTCTGCTTCCAAAGGAGAGTCCTCTCTGCATCCGAGAAACCTCCCCATGAACAACAGTGCTGGTGCTGTACTCCAGACCCATCGTGGCTGCTCTGTTTTGCATCCAAGGACAGCGAAGCAGGATGAGGTACAGCACCTTCACCAGCAGACCTGCCCAAGGGCTGAGCACCCTGGGAAAGAAACTTCAAACCTCTGCACCCTCTGCAATGAGGCGTGAGGACAGTTACCCTCACATTCACTCTGCAAAATGCATTTGCCTCACTTGAATAGTTTGCTGAAATTTTCTGAATCATGTCTTGTGCAAACTTGCACCTGGGGCAATCAGATAAACCTAGCTGTAGGGTATAAAAAAAATGCAGCAGGGTTTCATTCCTCATTGTCATTACACCCTAGCACGACCCTCAGAGAGAATAACGAGGATGCGAGCAAGCAACATCAGCTGCATACAAACGGGTTAACAGAAGCAGAGCAGCTGCATGGCCTGAAGCCACAAAGCAAGTTAGGACGAGGCAGAGCTGGAACGAAACAGAGGGGCTTAGCTCCAGTCTGTGGTGGGTGCCAGTAAAGCATTTCGCCTGGCTGTATGGGGAAAACAGGTGGCAAATTGTCCTCCTCAGGACTCTACACAATAAATTTGGAGCAAAAGACCCAGTTTCAACCTTCAGCTTCAAGGAGGACACAGCAGTCGGTGAACAGACCCGACACATCAGCTCTAAGTCAGCATCCAGATGACTTAGCATGTTTTTCAAGTAGTAGGGGCAGCGGGACAAGGGGACTTTCTGCAGTGGGAGGGACAAGAAGGGGAGCATCCTACCTAATCGATGCACTGCGTGGACAATCGTAGAACCACTTCCGATCCCAAGAACTTGATTGTTCTGCAAATCAAAGAGACCGAGGAGAGCTGTTACTGGGGGCTCAGCACAAGGGATGTCCGCTTTTCCCCACGAGCTCCATGTTATAAACACATGCAAGAGGAACCTTCCCCAGAGATGCACGCTGACACACAACGTCTTATCACGCTGCAGACAAGGAAGGGAACGCACTGCTCCAGCAAAGGCACAACCACTGTCTGCACCTAAGGGATTTTAAGCACTTGCCCTCTCATTAAAGGACACCTGCTTGCTAAACACCACCGTGGTCTGACTCTCTGTGTTCAATGCCCACTCATTGCTGGTTGCTGGTATTCCATGCGCTCTCTCCTGCCGGAAAGCTGGGAGTTGCGGACAATACCACAGAGGAAGAAGCTGAAACAACCTCAAGATAACATCTTCCAAGGAAGCCGCACAGTAAAAGCATTGGTTTGCCGCCAACGGTATTGTTAGTAAACAGTACGGATGCACCAGCAGCCAAAGCAAAGAGCACAGCAGTCCTTCCTAGAGAACAATAAAAACCGTCCTCCAAAATGCTTGAAAGATGGGTAGGCCTGGCAGCATATGCTGGAGGATCACATTTTAACCACAGCTCAGCCCTGGCCTTTCTCTGCTTATGGTTTGGTTTATGAAGAATCCCTACCGTCTCATCCATAACACAGAGACGTTTCTAAAAGGTGCTGCAGGCTGAGGGTGGAACTGTGTTACCACCTCAGGAGGATACTCTGCGATGTATATTTCTGTTTACTATCAGCTCAATCTCCCACCTACTGAGAGCTACCTGCAGCTTCTTGCACACTTCCAATTTTCAATGTACTTCCCCTTCTTTGGATAGGATCCAAAGTTTAAATTGACTTGAGGAGACTCAGTATCACTACAGAGACGTCAGATGAGAAAGACTTCAAGCTATCCAGAGACGCAGGCACAGAGCTGTTGTGTGTTATCTCTTGAACATTAGACAGGTCTGGGGCTCTTTCTCCACGTACAACAAATCCAGAGTTCAACAGCTGTGGAAAAAGCCACACCTGCAGCATTTCAATCAGCTAAAATCTTACAGGTATGCAAGCTTGCCTGGAAAGGTGGGGCTCAAGGAAGGTCACATTCCCCTTGAATTCATGATTTACCTCACTTCTGCAGGTTAAAATGCTTAAAAACCGAAAAGTTCTCCAAAACTCAGTGCGCAACCAGAGACTCGGCTTATATCCCAACCCTTGATAGTCACCGTGACTCCACAGAAGATGGGGAAAGCAACACCTCGTGGCTGCACGCCTGCAACGTTGCCAGCAGAAACCCAATAGCTCCTGAGGCTTCTCAGTTTCACAGGCCTGTCAGGCAAAGCCAAGCACAGCCAGCCGAGGAAGGGGCAAGCAAAGCTGTGCGGAGGCTGGCAGGACATGGGCAGTACCAGTGTTCCCAAGAGACTTGTTTTGATCGGGGAAGAGGCAGTTTCTTCTCCCCTCATTTCTATAGGGTGGGACAGCTTCTTGGAGCAGCTGGATGCCCTAAAGGGATGGTGAAAGCCTCAGCATCAGCCACTCCACTGTAATGAAGTGGGAAGAGCTCACAAGAGTCCCAGCCCACTGCTGGCAATAAACTGGAAGGCATTTATCAGTGATGAGAGGTGAAGCACACTCCCTTAGGCAGTGGCAAGACCCTGGGATAAGTGGTTTTCCTAGAAAAACGGTCTAAGCCAGTCTAAACTGGTGCTGTCACAACCCCTGCCATGGCTCCCACCTCTCCCTCCTCAGCTCCAAACCCAGACAGAGCAGGGGCAAATATCAGCCAAAAAACATCCGCTTTTAAAAACAGGGGCAGGACAAATGTTGGCGAGAAGCAGAGCACAAGGTCAGTGTACAAGGGGCAGGTCCAGCTCACAGCACGAGGAGCAGAACCCCATGCAAAAAAGAATGACATTTCAGGTGGTTTACTAAAACCCCAGCAAACAAAAACAAGGCACTGATCCACAGCAAAGCTGAGGATCCAAAGCTGAGGGCTCCACCAGCAGAGCCAGCAGCAACCAGAACGTTGCCCCTGCGAACCCAGGGGCTGAGGGATGCTGCCCAGCACTGGAGATGCCAACAAGGCAACACACATCCAGCGGCTGTCAGCAGCACCACACAGGCTGGCCAGTCCAACATAAGCTTCCAAGAGTAGGATTTATGTGGGCAAGGAGATAAATACAGTGCAAAGCCCAAAGTTTCCTCTTACTAATCCTCAGCCCTCCGGGGCAGCAGGACCTAGAGCGCTCACCTATCTTTTTATTCCTGATGGAGACGCTAACAGGGCCTGCCTTCGGAAGCGTTGTATAAACGCAAAGCCAGCTCTTCCCAAGCAGCTTACAGCTCTAAAGCCCCAAGCTCCATGTCAGCCCTGCTCCTCCGAGCCGTCACAGCACCACAGCCTGTTCCTGAGGTTGGTCATCTCAGTGTGTGCTCCAGACATGGCGGGGGTAGGGGGTCTGCTCCTACAACTGCCTGGGGACAAGTGCTGTTGTGGGTAAACACAGTGATCTGGCTTTAATTAAAAAAAAAAATAAAGAGAAAAAAAAGTTATCCTCTCTTAATACCCCCTCTCACCCCCAGGTTTTCTATCTGCTGCAGGCAGCAGGAGGAGCTGCTGTGCTGGCGTGGTTAAGGACGGGTGCAAAGGAGGATGGGGCCTGATCTAGTACCGGTACCAAGCCCCCAGTGCCACAGATTTATGGCACAGTTAAGCAGGAGAGATTTGTCCAGCAGAACTCAACCCTGAAGTCAGTGGCATCTCCCACACAACCCTGTCGTGCAAGGAAAGGAGTCTGCAGCTTTGCTTTCGGAGATTATGATGCTCCCTCCCGTGAACAGCGATAGCTCTTAATGGCCAGATGCAAAACTATCTGTTACAAACAGCAACTGTGCCCTCCCAGTGCAAACTGAAGGGGAGACAGGTTTCCTCTGAGAGCCGCCCTTGAAAGCGACTCTAACCTGCTTCTCCACCACTGCTTCTAACCAACTCGCACAGCGACACTGCAACAGAACCCTGGACGCTGCCTGTTTTACTTAATCAGACTAGCTAGCCTGGCCCTGAACTTTAATCAGCTGGGACACGGCCAGGAACATCATCCTAAGTTTGCCTGACCATAAAACAGCACAAAAGCCAGATATTTCACTAGGAAAAGTCCACAGTTAAGAGTCACGGTTTAGCCCAAATCAAAGGTGTACCCAGCTTGCGATAACCCGTGGCAGCGGTCGTGCCTCGGCTCCGCACCCTGCAACACAAAGTCCTTCCTCCTGCAAGCCCTCACGGCGCAACTCTGGGGCTTGCTTTGGGCAAGAAAGGGGATTTTTATGCAACTGGTCCAGCCCCTCCGATTGCTTTAGAGCGTGTTGGCCTGGCAGAGGGGAGGTCTCGGGCAGATGCGGCTGTGCTCTCTGCAAGCAGGTACAGACTGCTCAGAGGAAGGAGAGACTGCAAAACAAGGAAAACTTTATGGGACACCAGGGAAGCCACCAGCAACTGAACCTCAAGACGCCAACCCAGCAGCAGGGGAGCGGGAAGGAAGAGGGAAGTTTTTTCCTCATCGAGTGCTAACATCTGCCTCCTTGGCAGCAACTCTACATCTGTTTCATCACTGCTGTTGCAAAAGGACTTGCACAGCAAACACTGCGATAAACCCCCGCGTGACTTTAACCGCTGATCTTCCAAGCATTCACAACTAACCGCTGCCCTCCACAATCAGCCTGTGTCAAACACCAAGCAGCTCCAGCCCTATCTGACCTCCAAGGGGTTGATCAAAGCCCCTTGCTGCGCTGTCCTCCCTGCAGACGACAGGGCACAACCCCCTGGTTAGGGGCTCTGGCTCCTTGCTTGGGTCCTCGGGCACAGGGTGCAGCAGTGGAGCACCCCGGACACGGAGCGAGGAGCAGGACACAGCGTTAGCCTGACCTACCCCGGGAGCCCAACTTGCAGGAGAGGGCGCGGTGAAAGTTTAGAGGCGCAAGACGCTACCCCAAACGCGGAGCGCACCGTGCTGAGCCGGCAAGGCACGGAGCCGCTGCCGGGGAGGTGCGCACCCGGCAAGCGCGGATACCGGAGGGGAAGAGTAGTTTTCTCCCTTCTTCCCAGGCTTAAGGGGCGTAGTCCAAAGCAAAGGAGGGTCTGCACACCCCAGGGTCCCCCCCTTCACCCCGAAACCATCCGTGCTCCGGGGAGGGTGGGGAGCTCTGTGCACCCCACGATGCACGCGGGGGCCGCTCCGTGCACCGGAGAGATCCGTGCAACCCGGTGCTCCGTGCACCACTGAGCCACTCGTGCACGGGAGTCCCTGCACCCCGG